TAACTGCAAAACACAGTATGCACTACAAGCTGCTACGGTGAACGCCACGCCGCCAATGCCTCAGGTGTCGAATGCGGTTAATTCCAAGAAAGTGACTCAGGGGTCTTCTTGGAATTCTGTCTTAACAAATATCATACGGACTGTAATTCCCATTAGGTATACAGACGCCTTTCTTTCAAGCAAACCAGAGAACCCCAAAATCCGTACATTTTTAGAAAAATGAATGAACCGAAATTTCCTCGTGAAAGTACGGTAAGACTAGGAGATGTCAATCGCGTTTACAGAAATGAAATGACATCAATACGCGAAGATATTGCCTATAATTTCGTTTATTTCATTATAGACGAAGCTACTGATGCTTGTGGACGTTCAGTAGCCAATTTTTTTAATTGGTCCGTTGTCAACAATAGACGCTGAACGGTCATTTTCCCTACACAAGTTAATATTAAGTGATAAAAGTCGCCGTTTCGCTACAGAAATCTTAGAAAAGCACTTAGTGATACGTTTTAACTAACGGTGAACGCCACGCCGCCAATGTCTCAGGTGTCGAATGCGGTTAATTCCAAGAAAGTGACTCAGAGGTCTTCTTGGAATTCTGTCTTAACAAATATCATACGGACTGTAATTCCCATTAGGTATACAGGGTGTGCCAGGTTTAAAGCGACAAATTTTAAAAGGAAATAGAACACATTCAGGTGATTTCAAAACACCTCCATATTAAATTCTTTAACATTAATCGTTTTTGAGATACACTGTGTTTTTCGAAATTGGCTAAAATTATACTCTGTTATATCTTTGGAATCGATTCGTACACTTGGACATTTTGTACCCATTGAGCTTAATTAAAAGCGTAGTATACTATTACAAAATTCCCGGACCAGCCTTGATTTTTTCAATTTCGCAATCCTGTATAAACCTTCTGTCAAATGTATAATAATACCATAATATTCGATAGAACGCCTTTAATGGTTGTACATTATTTAAAAATAGTATATATGAAATAAAAAAACTGCAGCAAATAATCACAGTGAGTTGTCTTAAGTAGAA